GACATATGAAATGGCAGTTTGCCTGGGCTACCAATATGACTGCTGGAATTGTTCATACTTCTACAAGAATCCTGCCTAGAATGGGAAATTTCTGGAACATTTGTGCTTGGAATCATATCGGACATCATTGCTGATCCAGGAATAGCTTTACTTTGTAATCCCTCTGCAGTTGAATTCTGCCGGGTTAAAGAATTCCCTCTTTCAGATGTATTTGTTATAATCTGTGTTCGGACTTTTCCTAAACCTTCTGTTGAAGGTATAGGTGATTTTTCTCCTGTGTGAATACTGAAACTTTGACTACGGGCCTTTGCTCCATTCATGCCAAGAGCTGGCTTCAAGTATGTCTTATTACTAGAAGAAACCGATCTCTTAACGAATTTGTTTTCAAATCCATCTTGTTCCATTAGATTGCAGCTTTCAGGGGAAACAGAAGTTACCTCCCTGCCAAGTTCCTTAGCAACACCTTCCTTGATTTCATTTTGAGCACCCTTAAATTTAGTATCTGCTACATCCATGGTGGTTTGAGATAAAGATTCACCCTGCCTCTGCTTACTTGAATACACACAGCTTTTGGAGGCTGCATTCATACTGTCTTTTTCCTGTTTCCCTGGTATGGTGCAGCTCTTTCTAAGGAGCTGAGGAGATTTCATGACTAATTTAAGTCCTAAAGGCAGACTAGGTTTCAGTTCCTTGTCTGGAACACTTCCAACATCATTGCCCTGAGACAACTGCGATAATGGGGAGTGAGTGCTCTGGGGAAGAAAGGGCTCCCCAGTCATTACTGTGTGATGATCTGGTGATGTGGGGAAGCTGTTTGAAAACTTAAGTTTCTGAGGTATTCCACTGTCCTTAGACAGGGGTACATTTTGCACTGGATTTATATCTTGTGGCCTGTAAGCAGCATGGGCATCCTTGGAATTACAAAGTCCATTATTATTGCAGGATACTGAATGGTTTGAGTTTTTTGGAGCCATTTTCTTTGTAACATTGGGGATGCCTTGGCATGTGCTGGGTATTTGCTCTAATAGACATTTGCTTTGTGTAAGCATTTCTCCTTTCTCATGAAAGTGATTCAATTCAAATTTGGGTGTTGCAGGCAACTTGTTGATTTGTATCTCATGGTTAGCAATATTATGAAAAACAGTCATTGAACTTTCTTTCCGTGGTGGCAATGGAACTGCATTTTTTACCAGGTCATTGGGAATACTTGTTCCAGACTTATTGGGTATAGGTGGGGAATGTTCATGGTTTGGTCTTATCAACAATGAAGCTGATCTGCCTGGTGGACGAGGGGGTGATGGGGATCTGGCTTCTACAGAAGGCATGCCACAGTGAATATCTCTAGTTGGTGGTTCTCCACAGTCAATGGATTCCATGAAATGCTGAGGTAATGAGGTTGATTCTGGGAGCTGATTCTTGGACCATTCTGCTCTACTCAAAATTTTAGAATTTTGTGGAGGGTTTGCCAAGACCTTTGAGATATTCACACCTGCTTTTGAAGTGGAATTCTGGGTTGGACTTTGCACTTTTTTTAATCTTGTGCATTTTACAGGCGACAATGGCGATTTCTTCGTGGTCACAGAGCAATGTGAAGAGGATGTAGTAGAATCTTCATTTCCTGTGACTTTGGTTTTCTGTGGTGAAAACTTACCTCTGCTGGGAATTTTACTTAGTTTTTGTTTTTGATTGCTATCTGCCTGCATACAAGATGGAGAGCTGGCTTTGGAAGAAATATTGCAAACTGGCTTCAATAGCCTTAGCTGTGGGGTATTCTGAAACATGGATCTGTTGAAGTGCACGGAACATTCATTGCTGTTTATGGTAGGGGCAACTGCATGCTCATCCCCTAGATTATTTTGTAGAGTTTTTCTCTCAGTTTCATTATCAGACATTTGCAAAATACTGTAGTTTCTAGCATCTGTTGCTTTCTGCAAAATCGCCATTCCCTGAGGTAAACATTCAGTGTATTCTGCATTGGATCCAGTATAAGGATGGTTGATTGAAATTTCATTTCTAGTTACAGTAACAACTCCAGTTTGATGTGAACTGAATTCAATAGGTTTGCCATCTTCAGCATCAAATATTACAGTAATGCATTCTTCTGAAGAAGTCTTCTTTATAACTTTTTGTTGCTTAATGAAATTACATGCCTTTGGCTTAATGTCAGACTGCATGGGGCCCTGATTTGCTTCTTTTTCAGAAAGCACAAACTGGACATTTTCCTTCTTTGCACGCACAGCAGAGTTTTCTGCATGCTTGTCAACATAGGACACTAATGACAAATCTGATGGGCTTTTCTCATCACTACTTTCTATATGTAATTCATCCAGGATTTCATTGTCATCAGTATCTGAAAAGTGTAAATTAAGGTCTCTCCAGGTGACATTAGCAAGACTTTTATCTATCTGTAGAATAGGTAGCTTCACATTTGTACATGATTTTCTTTCAGACTGAAATCCATTGACAAAACTAGTCAGTTTTTCAGGCCTTTCCTTTGAATTAACACAAGAACCTCTTTCTGGTAAATGCTTTCTATCAGGTTCCCAGCCAAATAGGCTGTCAGAAACACTGTGAGTTAATTTATTACAGCAGTGCCTACAGTCCTTGCTTGGTACTTCATACAGCAATGCTAAAGATGAAGCCTCATCATCTGCATCCTCATGTGAATCGGAATCGTACACAAAGGATTTCTGATGCTCATCACAAACTGCTCCTCTTTCCTCTGGTGTGCAATGTGCCCTCTCATTACGACTACTGCATTTAATTCCAGGGGAGTAGATTCCTTCATTAGAATCCATGCAATCTTTGTATCCCCATTTAGACATCAATGGAGGTGGTTCAAGTAATATTTTTCGCTTTTGTAGCTTCTTTAGCCCTTCCAAAATGTGGTTTTCTTTGATACGAGTTGGAGGTAGATCATCAGTGGGACTTGAAAGGTTGCTGGGGACTGAGGAACCAACACTTATTCTTTTATCCCAGCTTACTGATGACTGGTTTTAAATAAAGAGAGAGAGAAATTCAGTTGTTAGTACAGAATTAATCAACATTGTAAGAATAAGATTAAAGCTACCTTACCTATAAAAATACACACATTTTTCAAACACTACCGTAAATCAACAACACTGTTTTCTTTCTGTACTAAGTTTCTCAAATAATCTGTACCCCTTTGAATATATAAGCACATCAGAAGTCTATGTATACCTGTCAAGGAAAGAAGCGAATGACAAATCTGAATAACTTTTTGCATCAATATTTTCCTACTTGTGGTTTGTCTTTCTACCCAAGAAGAGTTATGTCCCCAACTTAAGAACCAATTCAATATTTTGCAGTCAGTCTGACTCTAAGAAGTCTCTATCCATCAAACTGCTCTGCCAATTACCCAGTTGTGTATTTTTTTGCATTTTGTTGTTTCAGGACCTATAAAAATGTTTCAGACCTATGCATTCTCGTGATTTAAATCTGAATGGAAAACCATACATTCTTAACTATGAATTTCTAAGGAAGTAAGGAATGAAGGCAGAAAATTCTGGAATGCACTTTCCTCCAGCGTCATGAAAGTAGGTTTTGAATTGAGAGTGAATGTGGTTCAGTGGTTAGGGGTGTGGGACTGAGATTCAGATGACCTGGGTTCTAGTTCTCCCTCAGCCATGGAACTCACTGGGTGCCTCTGGACCAGTCACAAACTCTCAGCTGAACCCACTTCACAGGGTTTTTGTGATAGAATAAGATTGAGAGGAGGAGGAGAATTATGTAAGACATCTGGAGTTCCTTGGCAAGAAAAAAGTCAGGATATAATTATAATAAATTAGATTTAATTTTCCCTTCAGATCCCAGATGTAGCATTTGACCCTAACGGTATTCAAAACTGCAAACAAATCAAAAGTAATGGAAAGCATAAGTAAGATCTAGGAGAAAGTGTGGCTGTGTCTTAAATAGCAATGCACTGACAAGTCACATGTTAAATGATACAATAGCATACTCAATTCATAAGAGGGATGGATGCCTAGATGTCTTGTGAAAGTATAGAACAGAGAATGACTAGCTTTAAAATGGATCACCCTGAAAAATTCACAGGGCAAAAAGCATGGGTTGTAAACAGATGAACAGAATGGACCTAGCTTAATCTCTCCTTTCTCTGAAGAAACAGATAAAATGAGACTTTATGTTTTGTTCCTTGAGGAAAGAAAGACAGCTATTATTATATTATATTTCTATCCCATCCATAGCTGAAGCTCTCTGGGAGATTTGCAACATTTAAGTCACCCATCCAGATATCAACCAGGCTCAACCCTGCTTAGCTTCCAAGATTAGGCAGGAGCAGGCACTTTAGGCTATGTGGACGCTTTAGGATATGGAAAAACATTATATTCCTGGGTGGAAATTCAAGGACCTGTAACCTTCAGAAAATGTGTCATCCCATGGCTGACTTTGAGGTTTATCTCGGGCCAGTCTGTCCTTCTCTCTTTCTCTCTCAATCTCTCTGCCTACTTCACAGGGTTTGTTGTGATGAGAGAAATGTAAGCTATGCATACTGCCTCAAGCTCTTTAGCCTGAAAATGATGCCATGATTTCCTCACATAAACATACCTTGATGTTAGGAGAGGTGTGTTGCGTGTACATTTCTAAGATAGGCCCAAGATGGAGCAATAAGTGATGCCAATGGAACCGATGTCAGGAAACAGCTTTTCTCTAGATATCCATCATAAGCAAGTCTGCTACAATGCCCTTATGGCAGAGGTGAGGAACTAGTCCCATCCAGATGTTATTGGGTATAACTCCCACCATCACTAATCCTTGGACATGCCTGCTGGAATGGATGACTGATGGAAGTTGCAGTCAAATGACTACAGAGGTGGGGGGCAGAGTTCTCCCCTGGCACCACTTTTTGATTGCATTTCAGCACCCAGTAGAACTGCATGAAGTTTCTGTAAGGCTTCAGATTTGTTTTTCCCTTCTCACACAGCTTCTGTGATCCAATTAGGAGCAACTGGTTTGCTTACCCTTTTACTGCATGCCTTCCCATCATTCCAAGTACAGGATGAGCCACTGGAATATTCACTACAGGCACTTGACAAAGAGAGTTCACTGCTGCTGCAGCTGCTTCGAGGATAAACTCGGTGAGGCCCTGTCAGATTTAATTGACTCTGGCATTTTGAGGCAGGTACTCCAGATTTCAAATTCGGTTGGCTTTCCTAAAACAAGAAAAGAGACACATGTTTTTATGGGTTAAAAACCATTTGATAGTTTATTCTTATATAAGAAAATAAATCAATTGTCGCTCAGGGTGATACAAATCCAGTGCAGTAAATCAGAATGCTTCTATTTCTTCCTCATTAGGGCATTAAAATATCTAATACCTGCCTTTTATTTTATTATTAACCATGACTCAGTATCCAAGGTGGCCGTTCAATGACAGTCTGGTTGAAATATGCTGCTTTTATTAGCAATGTGCTCCAGAAAGATACTGAAAACAAAGTTAAACAAGTACAAGAACATCTTGACAACTGCATTATATCCCCACAATGTAACAGATGAGGTCTTATAAAGCGGACAAGGTAAATTAATTTAGTGCCCAAACCAGAACGTCCATGGAGAATGGAATCTCTCCATTACAGTCTAATTTTGGTTTTCTATCTAGTTCAAAGCTTTGTCTAAGAAAGTATCCAATGCAGGACAATCCATCTTTGTGTCACCATCTGACAGCTGAAGCCTCCTGCTTATGCTATTTATTGACACTTTATGGCTGCCTTTAGTACTTGTGCAGTTATCGGCCTTCTCCAAATGCAATCTCAGCTGCTGTGACTAAATACCAGCTTCGAGGAAGAGAATAATGAAGAAAGAGATTGGTCTGTTAGTTACAACATGAAACCTTTGCAGAAGTTTATACAGGTGTTTAATTTCTGCCTAGGCAACTGTCTGGCCTCTTAACAAGGCCACACATCCTTGAATGTTTAGACATCTCATGAATATACGGCTATGCAATCATCTATGTGCTAAATGGAATCAGACACACTGTGAAAGATATCAATAACAAGATTACATATCCTTGACATTTTGCAGAGAATTTTATTAATCCCAAAAGCATTGTCTCTCAGCAGTAACTGTCCACTGTAGAACTGGATGCTTACATTCATCTTCTCCATTAACAGTAGAAGCAAAGAACCTAACCTAGGTCCCCAAATGCCAGCTGCCGTTACTTCTTTATTACACTGGATGGAGTAGCTCTGCAAGCAGAACACATTTACTGTGTCTTAAAATTACCCATTTAAGCACATTTAGAAACATTACATTCTAATTGGAGCATGCTCAGGAACAACCTCAGTGTGTCTGTGCAGAGTAAATGAAAAAGTGAAGCCAACAAAAAAATAAGGTATTAGATGAATACTTTGCTAGTTCCGCATGGCTGTGAACTGGGAAGCAGTGGTATGACATGCCTCTGAGATCCAAAAGGGCAACAGTGAGTCACCCTAAAAGGTCTCCTTTCCAGCACTGTCTCTGCTACAGAGGGCACCTATTTATACTGACTTCCACTGCTTGGGCTACATGAGGCAGTGTGATGCAAAGAGGTGTCAGGCTTGACTTTCTGACACACTCTGGCAACCCAACATATGTCACAAATAGCAGCAAAACTCTTTATTGCAGAAGATCAAGTTACCTTCTGCGTTTATGGCAAAGTTTATAGATCCCAATAAGTCAGATTGCCTAAGGCAGGCAGAAGCTCCTGGTATATTGTTCATTCAAGAGAAAGTTCCAAGGCTAACATCCACACAGAGTCAACTCCAGAGTTCAAGCGCAGCAACAGGTTCTACATCAAGATTTCAGCAGTACAGGCAGACAAGATTTAGCAAAATGTCCAGACAAGAAACTATTCCAGGTAAGTTAGACATACCCAGCAAAGGCTTTTCAGTTTCTGTACCAGCTTAAATACAGGGAAGCGGCTGGTAGGGCACCCTTTCTGTCCACTTATCTGGGCAGAGAGATCTGCCCCGAGTAAATACTGTGACTAATGGGATGTCTCTTTTCTGTCCACTTTAACCGACTCCTTATCCTACGAAAACTTTGCCCCTTGCAGAATCTTCCTCACACTTGGTTCTCAGAATCACAGCTTGTAAATCAATGTCCTCGCTCAAGGCCAAATCTTATAGCTATAGCTCCTAGCAACATCCTCTTCCTTCAGCTTGTAATCAGATGAAAGGCTAGGAAAAACTGGGCTTTCAGGGCCCAAGCTTTCCATGATGGGACTTGGTACAAAAACATCCTGCTGTGTGATTACTTTACAAATCAAATCTGATTTCTATTAATTAATTAACAACATGCACATACCACTCCACATCTAAGCAGATTTTGGAACAATGAACAATAGAAAGATAAAAATGGGCAGAAAGACAGCAGCAACAGCAGAAGTAAGCTAAACTAAAACTAAGTAAATTGAAATAATGGCTGGTCATTCAAGGAAGCCTTCCTGAAGTGAAGTTGTTCTCAGAAGGCACTGAAAACAGTGTAATGTCGGTGCTTTCCTAACGTCCAGAAGAAGTTCCAGAGAAATGGAGCTGCTACACTGAAGCGGCCCCTCCCAGTGGGCTCCTGTTGGGCTACAGGTCCACAATGAAACACCAGGAGCATGCCATCAGTGATTGGACAGCTTGGTAAGGAAGAAAACATTCTCCCAAGTGTCCTGATCCTGAGTTGCTTGGGTTCTTCTATCAAAACCTTAAACCTGTCCTGGTAGCAAATAAGCAGACAGCAGAATTCCTTCAGAAAAAACAACTGCATGCTGACAGAGGCATCTCCTAACAATGCTGTGCTGCTGTATTCTTCACAGGCTCTACAGTGTCTTGCAGCAATCCCTTCTTGATGTCACTAAGACCTGTGCCATTGTGGCCAAGCCATCCTGGTCCAGGAGAGGTCATAGCTAGGGAACCGGATAAAGTTGGTAAAAGCCACTCCGAACTGCTACAGTCACTTGGAACCCCAGACACAATGACTGATCTAGGTTTACCCCCCAGATTGTGAACCTAATCTTTCAAAGGGAAGGGAACCCAATGCAGAACAGACAATGAGCCTGTTTCACAGACCAAGGAACCACTCATGCAGGGCTACCATCTTTCCAGGATTCAGCTTTAGTTCACGGGCCCTCATTAAGGCCATGACTGAGTCTAGGCACTGATCTAGAACTCACGCAGCCTCACCAGATTCGGATATCACAGGAAGATAGTGCCATACTAATGGCACTTGGCTCCCAATCGCCTAATGGCTCTTCTAACAACTTCATACAGATGATAAACAACATTGCAGAAATGATGGTACTCTGCAGAACCCCACAGTTTATTTAGCAATAATCCAGGGAATAGTTACCCAATATAACTCTCTGAAACTGATGTTGCAGGTAAGACTGGACCTGCAGTGTTTTCAGAGTTGATCCAGGAAGGCATTATGGTTTTGAAAGCCAATGAAATACCAGGCGGAATTAACAAGGTTGCCCTCACACTGCCCATTTCTTCATAAAGAAACACCCAGTCTCTTTATCCCTTTTATCTATCAGGACAACCATTATTTTTGAGATGCCCTTCTTTATAGCACATTCATGGTTTATGCACTCTTTGTAGTGCATGCAGGGAAGGCTGGAACAATGCTGCATTCATGGTTATTTTGCCGCAGGCAATGCAGACATGATTTGCTTTTGCAGATACGGCAAATAGTACAGGGTAACAGTGGAAGGCTCTAACGCAGTTTAGACCATGTTAAACTACAATTCACCACACCTTGGGAAATTATGAAATTAAAGAAGGGATGGGTGATGCTGGCAAATGCATTTTGATTGAGCCCACTGGACTGTGGCACCTTTCTGCCCTGACATCTGAAAGCAACCATGAGACTGGTTAAAGAGGAAAACCTGTTTCTGGATAATGCTGGGTCCAGTCGAGAGAGAGAGAGATCATCATGACATTGAATCCCATGCCCATAATAGACCAGATTTGGAGACACTGACTTATTATCTATTTGCATTGAAGAAGCAATCAGTTAAGTCCCACCTGCACTCCAGTGTGGCTGAGTTTTCAAACTGGTGTAACATCTTAGTGACTGACATCTAATTAGTTAAATATATATAGTATTTAAAAAGAAAGCTTTCTTCCAACATTTTATGCAAATTTATCATATTATTGTGCCATTCTTCTATACAGAATGGCCCTTATAGAATTATGCTTCAGCACTGATCTCTATTTATGGATAGAACCTTTTACAAAGACTCAAAAGTTTTGTCTCTTTTTTGCATATTTTCACACTGGAATTTGATCTATTTATCTAATATAGGAAGTTCCCTCCAGACAGGTGCCTGCCATGTTTACACTCGGATTGAGACAGTGGCCCTTCCTACATACATGCAGGAAGTCTCATGGAAATCAAAGGGACTTCTGGGTAGAGTTGTATAGGTTTGTGCTTTTAAGATTGTAAGATTTAAAACACGCTATATCCAGAAATCCAACTTCTCTGCTGAGAAAGGTTACCTCCTGGGCTATCAATACACAGAGTGATCTCTTTGATTGCATTCATAAAGATTTTAGAATGTTTCAGGATGGATTTGGTATGTTGCAGGGAAGAAGCTAGGCAAAGTGATGACATGGAGGTACTAGAAGAATAACAAATGGATGATGAAGGCAAGGTGACATATTGTGTAGCAGTTTTTAAGCTAGCACGAAAAGCAACCTTTTTTACACAATAATGGGAGCAGCTGGGCTTCAATCCTGCCCAGACCATTTAATCAAGAAGAAATTTCTAGTGAATAAAAAAGCACAGGATTGGGCAAAAGGTAACTTTTATTTTAAGATGACTATTCAGTATATATAGGAGTTTAATGAGAAATCAGAACTTCTCTGTCTTCTTCCACCCAATTTCATCCTCCATAGAATAGAAATAGAAGAACTTTAGCTTCTTTAATTCCAGAAGAAAAGAAGAAAAGACAAACAAATGTCAAAGCAACTGAAGAGAATATGCAAGCATTAATGACAAGTGCTGAATCCTGGAACAATATTCTATGCATCACTGGAATTTGAAGATTTCTATAATGTGGTGATGGTGAAAAAGAACATGATGGTGGTGGAGATGGTGGTTGAATTTTTGAACCTCCATTCTAATGTTTTCTTTAAAATCACTTTAAAGATTCCAATGATTACCCTTGTTGTGAATTAATTACACTTATTTAACTTGTTCATTGGTTTATTAATTTGCATCTCATGGCTGGATTTTGTCTTCTAATCATGGGTTTTAAACTGTCATCTTTAATAAAATCAGAGTACAAAACCTCGTTCAGGATTCTAATTTAAACGCATAATTGTTAAGTTGGAAGGAATTGTTTGAATCAAGCTATTGTCAAACTCAAACTGGGTATGCAGGAAGATCTAACCTGAAGGCAAAATTACAGATTGCATGGGGAGGTCATTAATAACTTTCTGAACCTTTGAAAAAAGCTTTATTTCCACTTAGATACACTTTATCGTTCCACACCAAATTACATTTGTGTTGGATTTTCATACTTAAGCATAAAAGGTAAGTTTTCAGTTCTAATTTGCTTTATTTCTATTCTTATACAACTTTTGTTTTTGAGCCACATTTTTCCTTTTTTAATGGAACATGAAAGCCATTCTAGTTAAGGTTTTGCCAAATAAGCACAAAGCTTAAACCCATCTGAACAGGGAAAAAATGCAGAGCCCATGAATTTTTAAAAGTTCATACATAATATATCATAAAACTAGGATGAATAATATGGTGCACCAGCTTTAATAAAAAGCTCCTTGACCATTTCTCAGAAACTCTGAGATGTAATCAATACCCAAAAAGGTATCTTGGGGACACTGCCAAGATTTATGTTTTTTCGCAAAGAGTGGCACTTTTTGCTTCTATTGGGCAGGGAAATGGTAGTGAACTTCAGAAAAGAGAAGGAAATGTTGTTATCTCTTCTCCTACTGTGTTTTAGTTCAAGGATGAGCTTTATTGGACCCCTATTAAGTCACACTTCATGAAGAGATACGAATGTGCTAAATGAAAAAATAAAAAAACAAGAAAACTCACGTGAACCTGAACATCAGCACTTCGTGATTGTATCAAACTTCTCTTCTTCTCTACCTCTGAAAGGAAATCCCCAGACGACAGATCTAAGATGCGTGAATGAAGTTTCTGAGGGGAAATAACGGAATGACCAAAGCATAACCATTTGACAAGTATGCAGGTGATCAGCAATTTTGAAAATACCAACCACTGCAGTTAAATTTCAAGGGGGAAAGGACCCCTAAGGTAAAGCTGGGTTGCCCTAATTTCTCTGTTTATTGAATCCAGGCTTACAGTACAAAGCAGAGCTGATTATTCATCAAAAAGCAAGGTCACTTTTTCTAGCTTATGATGGCTGATCACTTTTCAGAGCTTTACATAAAATAGTAACCAATTCAGAGGAATAAAATGCATCTATCTGTAGAAATAGTTACAGATGTCCAATACTATAAAATATAATATATTCAAAAGTTAGTTAGCAATCAACAGGTTAACTTTCTTTTATTTAGCAATTGCTATAGCTCAGGTAAATGATTATAAAAGTGATTCTACATCCAAACAACATTGATCTTGCAAAGCCCTCCCTTGCACACATTTTAAATCAAAGTCATTAATGTCATCTGTTAGGAACAATTAATGTGAATGGAAAATAATTGCATCAGGGAGGTAGGGACTCAGAGGATTTTGCGCATTAATATTCACACGCTGTTCGATTACATACTCAATGCATTCAGTTTTGCTTGGAAGGCGTGCTAAACTGGTGCTATTTCCCTCATATTAATCTATATACTAATTACTAAGGTTTTATGTGAACGTTAAGCTTGGTCTGTTTTATTTGCAAATACAATAAGTTTTGCAATTTAGGTAAGCATGGTGTTTGATGGATAACTTCAAAAGAAATTAAAACTGACATGATATACTCTGTAGCCAGTCAGGCTGGTATTTTTGCTATATTTAGTAAATACATTTAAAAATTCCACAGCAAATTTTGCATGCACACATTTTGAATTGTGCACTTTGTGGAAAGTATGCAAAATGTATTTTCATACCTTTCCTATTTGCATAATTCCCAGGGCCATTGAGGAAAGACAAAGAGATAAGTTATATCCTTAATCACTGGATATGTTATTCATCCACATTTCAACTTCTGGGATTTTACTAGGCATTTCCCATATACCCCGAAGTCTGTATTTAGAAGCCTAGAAACATGCTCTTTTAAAATGAAAGTTAAGCATTTCAGGAAAGTGATTTTCCTCACTCTCTACCCTACCATATTATTTTTCTGCTTTTCCTGCAGTTGAATGGAATATATACAGCTCTGCAGTTAATACATACTTTTCTGGTATACTTTGTTAGATCAAGAAATCGAACACCACAATCAAATGGAATTCAAGCACAGAGCTACTGAATGAAGTTTTGGCCCCAAGGACGTCTAAAGATGCAGTTTGTCAGCATTCATGGTCTATATTGTAAAATGTTAACTGGCTTTAATTCAAAGCCAAACCATTTCAAAAGGGATTGGAATACTAATGATGTTCATTCTCACTGGGAACTGCTTCCCACCTCTAGACTCATTTCTTCTTGCCTCATTTTCATGCACAACCATGGGATGCTATGCTATGCTATGCTATGCTCTCTGAACAGGACAAGTGCACATTTCTGAACATGAAAAAGGCAAACATTTCCCTGCACTCCCTATAGTGTTTCACCTTATAGGTTAATATGTGAAATGCAGTTTTGGTAGGGAAATCCATATTTTCAGAAATATGCACCTGGGCAAGTGTGCACTTTCAAACAAAATACAAGCTCAGAAGAGTGAAACATTTCCTGACAGGCACACTGCTCATATATGGGGTTGTGAATGGGACATGTTCATATGATTTGCAAACAGGAACAAACAATAACAAATACCCTTAGTATAAATATTACCAGTTAATATTTAAATAGTAATTTAAATATTAGTTTAGATATTACCAGTTCCTAATCTATGGACTTATAGGAGTTCCATATTCAAGTAAACATCAGTATTTTTTCCATTTATTCAGCACGTACAGTGACCATTTATATAGTACCATTTTAGTGCAGATTCTACCTTGGATTTCATGAGTTTTTCAGTTGAAGTGCAGTAATCAGAATAATTAACCAATCTGTAACCCCAATAGTTAGGCAATCAGGATCACCAGACTAAGAGAACTTACTACAGAAAATTTGGCTATCAGTATAGGCTGGTTATTTTCAATGTGGGTTATGAGTAGAACTCAAGTGTTCTGCATAAATTTTATAAGGCTCACACATGAGCTAAGTGAAGTGAAAATCTCTTCTCTTTTTAGCATGGACATGAGAGAACTGAAATCACTCTGCACACATGGGATACATTGTTTTCCTAGTATTTCTGTTGTCTATCTGCACATTGTAAGCTGACAGAAAATCTTAGGTTCTTTCCATGCCTTTTGCTACTTATTCTGTGACCTTGTGCAGTTTAAGGTCATTCATTAACTACAGAAGAATGTAATGCTGAAATGTTTTTCTTTACCTCCACAAAGTAGACAGTGCACCAAACAAGACCTAAGGCAGAAAGCTGTCCTTCCATCTTCTGATTTTTAAAAATTATTAATTTAAAGGAAATTTGGGGAGTGAAATTGCTATCATTGCTAGGGGAAGGGGCTTTAACCCTGACACCATTTTTTGTTCTCAATTTAAAATAATCACCCTGAAGCTCACATTGGCCATGGAAGATAAGAAAAGGAAGGTCATACAGCTGTATCTTCCTACCCTCTGACAAATAACTGTGCTTCAAGGTAGTTGTGGTGGTAATTCAAATCGGGAAAATGGCATTATTGGAAAATCAGTACCATAGCCTGGTCTAAAGTCCTGTCTCCTTCCACTGCTTTCAAGCAGAGAGAAAGATACTGGGAGACTAGACTAGGAATCTCACACACCACATCTAGTTTGGTCCTTAGTGACAGAAAAGAAGTAAATGAGTTATTTATTTATTACATCTCTGTGCCACCTAATAACAAAAGCTCCCTGGAACTTGGAACTAATTTTCATTAGTACTTGTAATTGCTTGCTTTTCACTACACTTGTGTTCTAGAACATTATTATATTACATTTATAGCCTACCTTTTTTCCTCTTGTGAGGAACCTGAGGCTATTTGCATAAGCCTCCCCTGCTCCATTTTGTCCTCACAAGAACCTGTCGAGATAGGGGAGCTTAAGACTGTCGTGCGCACGCTCTTGGATGAGAGTCTCAGGTGCGCATGAGATGGAGGGCTCTGGTGGGAATGGTGGCTTAGACTCGGAGGAGGGGGAGTGGATTGCTGACCCAGGAGTGGCTCAGAGTTCTCACTCTGATGTTGGAGTTGTTGAGACTAGTGAGGCCCCAGCTGCCCAACTCCTTCCAGCGAGCCAGCCCACGACAGCGCTGGAGCAAAGCACTTCAAGGACAACACTGAACTCCCTCCCATTCCTGATTGTGGGAAAGAAGCCAACGCAGAACAGGCTGGGAAGGGATTTTTGGGAGGAGAACTTGACACCCCGAGAAACACGGACACATGGGCCTGTCTCACCGGCTGGACCAATTGGAGACTCGATGGGAAGAGTGGCAGTGTGCCCACTTCCACAGCATGCTCCCCTCCAGAGACCAGCCCCGAAGGGCTCATAAGCAGAGCTTTGGGTGAACAGGGTCAGAGCGAGAGGTCAACTTTCTGGAGTGCATGTTTGTGAATACCTTGTAGTTGTATGGAATAAAGACTCTTTTAATAACTATTGAAGTGCTTGCCTCATTTGGGAAGGGATGCCTAGCTCATGACAAATTATCTAGTGAGCTTTATGGCCAATTTGAGAATAGAATCTGGAAATGCTAGGTATCCAGTCCAACACTCCCACCTTCACACCACACCATAGCACAAACATTTTTGACGCTAGTCCAGTGATGGAGAACCTTTTAGAGACCGAGTGCCCAACCTGTAACCCAAAACCCACTTATTTATCGCAAAGTGCCAACACTGCAATAAAACCTGAAAACAGAGGTTTTGGTTTAGAAAAAACAACTCACAGCCAGTCCAAGCAAATATATATATTGGCAGCACACTGAAAGCTCGGACAAGTCGCAGCGAATGAGTCGTGGCTTGTGATGTCATTGCCTGGCGCCGCTACTCCTTTCCGAGCATGCGCATGGCCCCTAAGTGCACAGTTATCCGATGCTTGGCTGCTGGGGTGATGCTGCGGAAACGTGGTTTGCATGCTAACAGAGAGGGCTCTGCGTGCCCGCTGTTGCACGCGTGCCATACGTTCGCGACCACTGCCCTAGTCCTTTGCCTTACAAATTAGTATAGAAAGAAGTTTTTTCCTTTCTTCCTACTGCCAATTATGGAGTAAGCATCTTCGAAATCAACTTCAGCTTGCTGCTTTCCTGTGACTGAACTGAATGAAAAAGCTCATCCTTGATTTCGGAACAATTTTTGTAAAAATAAATGACTTGTTAACCTCCACTAACCTTAGTGCAGTTGGAATAAGTTTAAGGACTCAATAAAATGAACAGATCAACAGACATGGCAAGTTTTGCTATATAATACATAAGGTAAATCAAAAGAGAGTAAGTGACATTAAGTGGAATTTGAGTAGACTTTTAAAAAATGAAAAGTGTATACTTAGCATTACAAGATTGAGTTTTTCTAAAGGAAGCCTGGCAGACAGCCCAAACCTATAAGTGTGGGAAATAATTAAGCTACATTCCTACTGAGAGTTAAGTCCCACTCAGTTCACAATGATTTACCCATGGTAAACATGTACAGGGTTGCAGCATAAGAAGAGTGAGGTGGTGAAATAGGTTACTATTGCAATAAAAATTTTATAAGACAATATTTGCATTTTCTGTTTTCTTTTTACAAATAGTATATAGCATTTTTTGTTAAAAATATGTCAACTTGAAGGTACGATGCTCATCAGCATTTTCAGAGGAAGAAAATAGGCCTAATATACGTATATGAAGCTCACTACTTTTTTTTTTAGCAATACAGGGCTTCTTCTGACATAATAGTCACTTTGCAATGATAGAATAATGCAATGATTGCAGAAATATGGAAGACAATTAGGCAACCAGTTATCTTTTCAACAAATTAATATGT